GCAGCTGTTGCTAAGACACCAGGTGAAGCCCCAAGGAGTACGTCCATCCGCATAAAAAAGTAGTTCGTATTGATTCATTACCTGCCAGCAACTAGTTTGTTTAGGGCATAATATGACAAGCTAGACCCCACTAATTTCACTTGTTAACATTGTTAATATATTTTTATTGCCAGACGAGATATGGCCATGGGATCCATGCATATGACCTCAGCCTACGTAAAAAACAAACAAACGAAAACAACCTAGCAACCATGATTTTAGCAAATAAGGACGTCCTTATTTATTTTATTGGTCTAATTAGTCTGATGATCAAAGCAGGTTTAAACTGTCGGAAAAATGTCCCAAATGATCTCACTGTCCCTGCATTTTGGATAGAAGTTTCAGTGTTGACAAGAAGAATTCATTGGAACTCATCCCTACTTCCTCTATTTTTGTACTTTTCTTCACAACTTTTTCCCTTAATGACGCTTATCGGATTTAAAACTATCATACATATTTATGACATACACTATCCCACCAATGTAAACAAAAAAAACTAAACATAACCTGCTATGTCCTAAAATCAAAATGCACTACAATTATAATAGAATAAAGTGCACAACTTTGCCTATTTATTTGGTTGGATAATGCCAATGCCATGTAGTTACTTACATATAAAAATCATAATTCAGTATCTTAATGGGCTCTATATGAAGTCTAGACCGATTTTGAAATTATTTTCCTCTTGGAAGTTTGCTCTTTCAAGGGATAACTATCCCAATCATACTAATATATACATGATTTAAATTTTCTGACCATTTATTAACTATATGCACTTAAAATGGCCAGTTCTCCTGAATTGTAAACTCACATTCAGGCTCATGTTAAGTCAATATAATACACCATTAATTTCCTTCTTTTATAAAATTTTAATAGCAAAACGCATCAACAAAGGCATTAGTTAATGTTTATTCCTTTATTTGGTCATTTTAGAACACCATGTGTAGGGACTTTGTCGTAACATGTTTGGAATTTGTTAAGAACATGGAATTATAAATTACTGGCCACCCCTCAGACGCAGGACAAGATGGAGGGTGGACTCCTTTTGGATATTGTAGTCGGAGAGGGTGCGCCCATCTTCAAGCTGCTTGCCGGCAAAGATCAACCTCTGCTGATCTGGGGGAATGCCTTCCTTGTCCTGGATCTTGGCCTTCACGTTCTCGATGGTGTCACTGGGCTCCACCTCCAGAGTGATGGTCTTCCCAGTGAGGGTTTTCACAAAGATCTGCATACCACCCCTCAGACGCAGGACAAGATGGAGGGTGGACTCCTTTTGGATGTTGTAGTCGGAGAGGGTACGGCCATCTTCAAGCTGCTTGCCGGCAAAGATCAACCTCTGCTGATCTGGGGGAATGCCTTCCTTGTCCTGGATCTTGGCCTTCACGTTCTCAATGGTGTCACTGGGCTCCACCTCCAGAGTGATGGTCTTCCCAGTGAGGGTTTTCACAAAGATCTGCATACCACCTCTCAGACGCAGGACAAGATGGAGGGTGGACTCCTTTTGGATGTTGTAGTCGGAGAGGGTGCGGCCATCCTCAAGCTGCTTGCCGGCAAAGATCAGCCTCTGCTGATCTGGGGGAATGCCTTCCTTGTCCTGGATCTTGGCCTTCACGTTCTCGATGGTGTCACTGGGCTCCACCTCCAGAGTGATGGTCTTCCCAGTGAGGGTTTTCACAAAGATCTGCATACCACCCCTGAGACGCAGGACAAGATGGAGGGTGGACTCCTTTTGGATGTTGTAGTCAGACAGAGTGCGGCCGTCTTCAAGCTGCTTGCCGGCAAAAATCAGCCTCTGCTGATCTGGGGGAATGCCTTCCTTGTCCTGGATCTTGGCCTTCACGTTCTCGATGGTGTCACTGGGCTCCACCTCCAGAGTGATGGTCTTCCCAGTGAGGGTTTTCACAAAGATCTGCATACCACCTCTCAGACGCAGGACAAGATGGAGGGTGGATTCTTTCTGAATGTTGTAGTCAGACAGAGTGCGGCCATCTTCGAGCTGCTTGCCGGCAAAAATCAGCCTCTGCTGATCTGGGGGAATGCCTTCCTTGTCCTGAATCTTGGCCTTCACATTCTCAATGGTGTCGCTGGGCTCCACCTCCAAAGTGATGGTCTTCCCAGTGAGGGTTTTCACAAAGATCTGCATACCACCTCTCAGACGCAGGACAAGATGGAGGGTGGATTCTTTCTGGATGTTGTAGTCAGAGAGGGTGCGGCCATCCTCAAGCTGCTTGCCGGCAAAGATCAACCTCTGCTGATCTGGGGGAATGCCTTCCTTGTCCTGAATCTTGGCCTTAACATTTTCAATCGTGTCGCTGGGCTCCACCTCAAGGGTGATGGTTTTGCCAGTGAGGGTTTTCACAAAGATCTGCATATTGGCACCTATGAGGAAAAAAAATAATCACATTAGCAATAGAACACGTCACAAACCGGTAGGGCTATAATGTATCGTGCCAGTTCTGCAGCTTCCTTATCAACCGTTCCAGACCGGCCGCCATTTTGAGTTCATGTTGACCTTCCTTTTGTTCGCCACTGCCCGCAAATGGGCGATAGTGGAAATGTTGAGTCATCGTTTAAGCGAACTTTAACACATTTATATTCCGTTAAAAAAAAAAAAAACAAGTAACCAAATACGTTGACGAAAATAAAGAATAGACTATGACCAAATAACTAGCGTTATCTTATGTAGAGTATATAAAAGTATTTGTAAAGTAAAAAAAAAAGGAATCCAACAACACCTCTATTAACAAAAATTATAGTGACACGCTAAAATAATTACGAAAGAAAAAAAATAAACTTACTATTGCGCTGCGCAGCTGAAGTGAATCGATTCACAGAGTTTTGGTTCCTTCGGCGTTCGCTGAATGATCTACCGCAACGCTCGCTAACACTGGTTTATATAGCCGGCTGCTTGCGTCATCAAATTGTATTCTTCCGCATTCAAAAATAGTTCTGTCTGTCTCAAACGGTGGCAAATGATAAGCTCGTGTGACAACTTAAGACACCACCACTTTGTTATCATGTCTTTTTAGATAGAAAACACACTTTTTATCTGTTGTATGAATACGAATCCTAAGACATAAAGGTTTTATACGCACAAAGACGCGGATGGATATCACCTACTTACAACAGCGCTTTGTAACTGGAATTTGCTAGAACAACCCGGCAACCCGAATCTTTCCGGGCTCCTGATTGGCTGGCGCAGTTGTTTGTTTCGCTCACGATTGGTTGCTGAGTTACAGTAAGTTATCTCTGATGACTAAACGCTCGTGATTATAAAATTTAACAGGTCACCATATGATCAAAGTTCAGCTACATCCACTAACATTCGCCAAATAACAAACATTCGGCTATATGTATAGTTTCACCCACAATTTGGAACTTTGCTAACACGAATAGCCTACTCAAATGACTTGCATTTTTCGTATAAAGCTTTGGTAAGCTAGTGAAATCCCCCAGCTAAAACCATTTCGGTTTTGGCGGAAGCTAGCAAGACAGTCGTGTGGAAAATCTGACACTTTCTGTTTAGGTTATTTATCTGATGGTTTCATGTTTGTTTTAGGCTCTTTTGGCCTAGCCAGTCTGATCTGTATTTGCGATTAAAGTGTACCTAACACTAGTCAACAATTCAGGCTATGAATAGTTTGACCTTATTATGATCATTGCTATTTAGGGCAACCACACAGTCACCCCACTCACAAAATAGCCTACTTTCATTGTGGGATTGATTAGATACGTATTAGCCTATTTTTGTTACTGGTTAGCCATGTTCGATGTCAAATCTAAGGTAGTTTTGTGTTATAGGGCTATGTTTAAGTTTGCATGTTTTATATCAGCGATATGCAATATCTTTCTTTATACACTTTATATAGGTCACATATTCCCTTACTCATCTCAGGCTGTTATGTGACACCCACCTCAGCTGATGCGCCTGTGTTTTTGACAGGGTGCCTTGCTTAACTGGTTCACCCTCTGAAAAATGTGTTTTTAACCATCTGCTGTAGCCTGTAGGCCTACTCTGCCCTGCTTCCTTTAAACTAATATTTATTACAAAGAAACTGCAGTTTAAGCAGGACATTATTCAGTTTCAAATTTTTACTTTTGGCCAAATAGGGGAATTGGGACTTTAAATTTCACAATGTTGAGTATTGAGACTAGCCATGATAGTTCAAGGCTAGTTTTTAGACCACTGAATGTATTGATGTGTAGTGAATAGGCGTTAACACACAGGTGAGGTGTTGAATGTGAATGTGTTTTATTCTTATTCATGAACTTTGTCTGGACTTTGCCAGAGCACTTGTATAACAGTAAAGGGTGTGACCACTTCCAACACATTTCACAATGATCAGGCTACATTTTCTCTAGAACTTTCAGGAAGACAGGTAAATGTTATTAACAGTTCATAGTATGAGTCATGACAAGGCCATAGACAGAAAATGATAAGTTGTGATTATTTTCTTTTTTGTAACAGAATGGATCTTGTGAAACATACTGGAGGATGCCACTGTGGAGCTGTTAGATTTGAAGTTTTAAGTTCCCCAGACCTCCATGTGTTTCACTGCAAGTATGTAGTTTCCTGATATGTTTATCTAACAAGAATTTCAGGCTGATTTACTCTAAATGACCCTTATCAGGAAGAGTGTTTATTTTCCAGTTGCAGCATTTGCACGAAGAAACAAAACCATCATTTCATCGTCCCTAAAAGTCACTTCACACTTTTGCAGGTAAGAATATTAGTGAAAATATACTATTTAATTGAAAGTGAATAGTTAGTCAATAAATATGTATTTTTTTCCATAGGGGTCAGATAATTTGACAACGTACACCTTTAACACACATGTGGCTAAACACACTTTCTGTAAAACCTGTGGAGTTCAAAGTTTCTACAGCCCTCGCTCCAACCCCGATGGATATGGTATGAACAGCTCGCATGTGACAGTCACAGCTCACGTGCTGTAAACATCTTGCTTCACTGTATTGAAAGTGTAGACTTTTTTTTTTTTTATATTCTAGGTATTGCCCCTCACTGCCTGGACCCAGGTTCAGTAAGGAGTATCACAGTTGAAAACTTCTGTGGTGCCCAATGGGAAAAAAGCATGCAAGCTCATAAAAGTATTCGCAACATGTCCAAACCCGTAAATGACAGAGACACAGTATAACCAAGAATACCAAACTGTTTATTCACCTCTGTGTAAAAACAGTATTAAAATCACTAAATATAAAAAATCAGTGTCAAGACTTAATTCAACATAGTTACACTACACTGTTTATATTGCAGTGTTTCTAATAAGTATATACAGTAAATTGTTGACTTTTGAATAATTTGTCAAGGATAAAAATAGCTAAAGCAACACACTTGATAAAATCAAATAAAAAATTTAATTTAATACATTTTCAGATTTTTTGGTCCTTGTGGGATTATGTGAAAAGTATTCACAAACATGTACCGTGAAAATATGATGTACAGGTAACGAAACCACAGTAGTTGAGTGCGATGACAAAGCATAGCAGCCTATAGAGACAAAAAAAAGGGAGTTAAGTTTATGTGTGGTTTTATATTGTGTATTTGTTTTGATAGCAATGAGGGGTGGGACAACACAAGTATGAGATTCGGGCCACGAAACAAGGAGATTAGCTGTCATTGTACTTTTTGTTAACACTTCTTCCGGGAACTATGGTTTCTCAACAGTTGTGCTGTATTAATTTTTTTGTTCAGTCCAAATGTAAATAAATGGGGAAAAAACACAACATCATTTTCCACGTGTGCACAATCTTCTGGCTAGTTTATCTCACGAAATCTTGTGGCACGAGATCTTGTCCTATCCCTCATGGCAAGGCCGAAAACCTAAACCTAACATTAGCAACAACTACAGTCTATTTTAATGCTCAGCATTTTACACAGTCTTTTTTAATGCTCACTTTGGCTTGTCTGTAGCCCCCCAGGCCTGTTATACAGCAGAGGGATGAGGGCAGCAGCCAGCTCAGGGGAAGCTCCAGAAGAGAGAGGTACTTTCTGATCATACCAACAGTCTCCAATGACAACAAACAGCAGTCTGTGTTGATACAAACACATTATATTTGGTTAGTTTCGTGCGAAGGATAAATTCGGGACATACTGCATTATTTCTTATGAGTTTATACGGTGACAATGGTGGCACAGGTATTCTTTATTTTAGTTATTTTATTGAATATTTTTTTTCTGAGCAAGTACTACCTCTAATAATCAAAAAGGGCTGATAAAAGGTTAAATACAAATACTTTGATATATTTCTAATTACACTACAAGGAAAAAAGGTATATATTTGTTTTTTAAGATAAGATTATGAGGTTCTAATTCTACCCTGCTTTATGTCCCAACAGTAAAACCAGTTTAACAGGTCAGGTGTTCCCGCCTCAATACTAATAAATAATTAATGAGTTTGTCAGATGGGTGTGGAGTGACCTAAAAATAAGCATGTGTTTCCCTGTAAAAGCCTCACGCGTTCTGCCACACAGCTGCCACGTGAACAAGTCTAGATTTCATGTGTGATTAACTCAAAGTTCCAGTTTCCTTTCACAACACCAGACTAATGGGGTTGGTCTCTCTTTTATGCAGTGCTAAACTGAAAACTGGGTGGTGTACCTTTTTCAGTAAATCCCCTAATAACTAAATTAATAACTATTGTTTTTGCTCTGAATTTTTGCTTAGGGAAGAAAATAATATTGCAACACTTGTTTGGTAAAAAATCTGACCACAAGAGGGTGCTGATGTACAAGATATCTGTGAGCATATTTACCGTAACTTGTCTACCAAGAGGCTTAATACAAATTTTGTAATTTTAAAATAATATTTGCATTGTTTAGTAGCATGCCACTAATGTCAGATTATTAGACTTTCGAGAAACAGTAATAATCTTAGATTCATGTAAATTTAACTTACCAATGGGCAGTTCTCCTGTACAAGTAAGATGGCTATAGGATGTCACAAAAAGGCAAAGTGTTACTTTCAAGCAAAAAATAATTATGTTATCAGTGCGTGATTTTGCAATTTTTCAACCACTGGACCAATTCTTTTATTACAAAATAACCCTGGGCTTGTTCAAATTAAGTACATTATATTATGTTATGTTATTTAGCCCCATGATCAAGAAGCACTACTCTAGAAGATAAGTTCAGTGCTTCTCACCACAGCCAATGCGAGTGTTCATCCAAAGTTCATTTTCCATGATCACTTGTTTATATGTTGAACAAAGCCAAATTCAACAGAAAGCTTTTGAGAATTAACACTGTTCACAGCCATGTGGCTTCAAGTCTAATGGGAATCACGGGATGTGATTTGGGAGCAGACGTAGCACTTCACACTGTGAAAGGGATGAACACAGCCAGAGTCTGATGCAACTTTTGGGTTGGCCTCTCCAACGCATCTCTTGAGGGACAGGATTAACTGCTGCTCTCTGGGAGCCCTGTGCCTCAGAGGACTGTGTTTGGGGACCACTGTACTCTGACCACAATTCTGAGAAACATGTGTTGTATGTTTTCGTTTTCTTTTATGAGCAGAATAATAGGATATGTGTAGATGCATCTTGTTTGAATTATTCGTTAAAAGGAGAACTTTGCACCTGACAGCTTTATAGATGGCTGTGTGATTTGCATGGCCGCTTACTCCTCGTCCATCAAAAGTCAGCACCTGAAACAACACATCTCATCATGTGGGGGAAGCCTAGAATTGGATATCTAAAAATGTAAAAAAAAAAAACTGATAAAAAGAGACCATTTTTGATTAAAGAAAAACTACTGTTTGGCTATGGGGCTGTTTGGCAGCAGACAACTGATATTTAAAAACCCATTTCAGCCTATACACTTACACACCAGAGAAAGCAGGGGAAAAATCAGGTCAAAAGGAAAAATGCTTGACTAAAAACTTGGCATTTCCTCAACTGAGCTATACTCCTCCATGACAATGTCCCTACAATCTAACATGTCAATCTATATATAGTACAACCTCTAAAATGTAAGTAAGGGTTCAGCTAAATGTTCTTGTTCTCCTGAGAATGTCAAAGAGCATGGCTATAATATTCAACAACCACTTCTGCATCTGGTTTGTGAAGTCTGCATGTAATTATGATACAGCATTTTTAATGAATTAAGATTACAGGTCCTTTTCTCAGAGGTATGTAGTCTTTGATTCCAAGAACATCAGCAGCTAAACATAAAAACAATTCTCTTTAAACAAATCGCTGCTACCCATGGTTCAACTTTGTCTGTGTTCTTTGAATAGGTTTTTCTTTGTGGAAGCGGGTCAAAAGTAATTCCTTTGATTCTAATTTTGCCACATTCCCTTTGGCTAATAATGTCAGCTGTGCAGCGCCTGATAGGAGACTCTACAAACAAATAGACTGAAACCAAACTTTCTACAGCAGATCTAAACAAGACCTAAAGTAGCCAACACTACAATAACATTGTGACTTTACCAGATTGATGGAATTCATCTTCATGTGTTTGGAGATAACAGAAGACACTAAGGAGATGCTCCATTGTGCATTGGGATCATCTGGAAGATTTCTACAAAACATATGCATAACAATTAGGGATGCAACAATAACAGTAATATTGTGCATTCAGCCAGCACCAAGCAAAGTTTCAGAATATTGTGGACTGCTATACCGAATAACAAAAGTGTGACTGGGAACTACATAGACACATTCCCTACCTTTTAGTACAGCCATGAATAAATTATAGTTTTAATATTTAATCTTTCACTTAAAAGATGTTTTTAAGCAACATTTCTATTCAGATTCAAATTATTATTGCAAGTATTTATGTAACTGTAACTTATATCTTATTTTATTTTTTACAAATACATCTGTACACAGAAGAAGGGAAAATATCACATAGAATTTGATCTTCTTCCTCTTTATGGGGACTTAAGTCAGTACTTGCTATACATGCAAATTAGGAAAACTATAGCTGAATGTGTAGGTCTACTGAGATTTAATGTATGGTTCTGATGTCACAGAGGGTATAAGTTTGTCACTGGCTCTCTCCCTCTGTCTTTTCACTAACAATGACTCAGGACAGTTGTGTGACTAAGGGAGAAGTGATGGATAAGGCTACAAATCTTTGGCTGCTGGGGAGCGGAGGGGCAGGCTTTGGTGTTAATGGTGGGAGGTCAGTCACAAGTGAGGAGGGGCCACAGGTCGGGAGTTCAGACATGGTGTCTATCATTGAATGAATGGATCCCTGTGACACTCCAATACCACTGACCTACATATAGGTGCCTTTATCTCTGTGTGTGAATCATTGGGAAATCATCGGGAAATCATCAGGTACTGCAGGAAAATGGTATGAAACAAAAATAACAATCTACAACTGAGCTATTTCCAAAAATGATACTCTAATACATTAATATATATATTATACAATTAAAAGGTACTGTTCAATAAGAATTATGATGAAATGTCTGGTGAAATGTTGACAATTAATGTTATCGTTGGTTGTTAAGCTTCCCACTACCATTTTTTTTATACTATTGTGACATTTGCATGTTTTCTAATCTATCAAGAGGTTATATTGGATATATAAAATACATAGCTTTGATAGTGAAGAGGCAGCTGTAGTGATGGTGGTAGTGCACTTGTGAAACTAAACAAAAGATACAAGACACCTGACCTTTCTCATACGGGATACAGACTGTGTCCGCTTTGCCATGGCAACAGTGTAAATGTCCTAGAGTAACCTCCCCAGCTCACGAGGACGTCTAATTGCTTGCAGGCATCTGCAGTTGTTGAACTTTGGCCCAGTTAGGAGATTGTGTGTGTGCGTTAGAAGGCTTGTTTAGTCTGCTCATTTGGACCATGAAACAGCTAGACTCAGTCCTACATGCACTACTCTGTGTCACAGCCGCGTTATCTCAAAGAGTTACACCATTGCACAAAATGAACTTGTGGCATAAGTATCTCAGTGGTTAGAGCACTCATCTACCAACCCAAAAGTTGAAATAGCCTTCCTGTAAAGGTTTATATTCTGGATATGAATTTATCACAAATAAAATGTCATGTCCGTGGAGCTAATAGTTTTTTTCACTTTGGAAGAATATCCTTTATGAAGAACAGTTACACATTGTGATAATGTTTAGCTGTGGTTGATCACGTATGATGTTGATAAATGCAGTGGATTGGTGCTATAACCGTGATCCAGTGCAGACTGAGGTCAGGGCAGTGCAGTACAAGCAGAGAGGCAGTGGAGCGTGCTCAAATCCCGCTTGATCACAAAGGGGCACCAGGGCCCCAGATACTGTCAACACAGCTGTCCTATTCACTCAACATTAAAAGGAAATCACATTTTAAAACTGAAATGTGTGTTGTTGCGGTCTGCTTTAAGAGCTGTGACTCACAATTTAGGAAACGATTTGTTTAAAGAGCTGAGACAACTCAGTTTTGGATAATCGATACGGAATGGAATGACAAGAAAAAGACAATAGGACACATAATCAAGGTTAAATTGCTGTAGATACTGTAGGTTAAACACTGTCACAATGAAATAAAAGGGCAGAGCACATACAGAGTCAACAGTTTGGACCGACCTATATTGTTAGTGCTTACAAGCAGTTGGCAGGGAGAGACGTGGGTGAGGTGGGTAGAGCTGGGCTGGGGCAAACAACAAAATACACAGAAAGGGAAAATGGGCTCCTCTCCAGTTCAGCTGAAGTACAGACAGCACAAGGATCAAAGTTCACCAATACTCTGTGAGCATAAACTGATAAAATGGAGGGCTTTCTGTGTAAGCATTCGAAAGCACACACACATACACCCAACAATGTTCTCGAGCGCAGACAAGCTGGGCATGTGGCCAACTTATTACTAAGAGTTCAGGTCAGTGCCAAAGTTTATGCAGCTCTCCTGATGAGCCAGTATGTAGACACTCACATGCAAGGAGTGCCTGAGAATCACAAGGTCTTCATCTGAACCTGTTTAGTAATGGACACAATCGGACAAGTCAAAGCAATAGAAGAATTATATCTGAATCATAGCTCATGAGACTCTCTGTTGGTATGTAATTATGTTGTATACCAATTTCTGTATATTTTTCCCTTGACAGTCCGCAATTGAAAAAAATAAAAAAATAAAAATCCAACCACACAGTCAACTAATATAATGCAAATTACAAGTTACAAATGGAAATGGTCATATTAAGGCATGCTCAGATTTGTAGGACTATCATCAACTATAGAAAATTTTGGTTAACTAAAGACATGTCCTGATTAGTCGATTAAAGAGGGCGCAGCTAAATCTCTTAAAACTAGTACGTATCTCTATATATCTGACCCAAACGGCACTCGCATGACTCCAACTGCACAGGGATTCATGCAAAAACAACAATTTATACAGAAAAGTATTGAAATTGTGTATTTATATGTAAGAAAATGCAGATTAAACTCATGATTCACTTTCACATCTTCAGCTAACTCGCTACTTGCTGTGGCTGCTGCTGTTCTATGTAAATCCTTAAACTTTAAATAAAATGAATTGACTAACAAACATTTTGGTTGAATAAGACACCACTGACCAACTGACTGAAGGACTACAGCTGTATAAATTTGCATGTTAATATTTTTTGTAAACATGAATCAGACCCACCGTTAAAAAACAAAACAAAACAAAACAAAAAAAAACACTAGTACTTCAATATTAAATAGAAGGCAGAAGACAAATGTTTTATTTTGAATCAGATACACATTTTCTGAAGAGTAGTTCCTGATGAATCTGGATTTATGAAAGGCCTGCAAGACTAATTGAAAAAAAATCAAAACTGAATCATGAACTTTTAACAGAATCCTATTACTAAAAATAAGAAGCAAATCTAATCACAATGCTTGTCAGAAATGTTTTTTCCCAAAACACCCCCAATTTATGTAAAAGTAATTAAACATTTTTTATAACAATTAAAAAAATTTGATAAGACTTTGGTTTATGTAAAGTATAGTAACAACATTGTGTTACTCAAACAAGTGTGTAAATAATCATAGCAATTAAGTTGCTATACTAAGCATGATTTATATGTTCTTGGCCAGCCTATTGCACTACTTGCAGCAGCAGTAGTAGTTCAGTTGTTTTTGCATGTGGGGGTAGAAAAGCACTGAATAAATGCTGACTACCAATTAAAGCATTAGAAGTCTCTTAGGAATGTGAAAACCTTGTAGGGGTTCAACGTCCCACTGAGAAAACCTATCACTGTCTTTGAGCAGTAGTCATTAATTTAGGTTGTTGATAGTTTACATCCATTTTTCAGATATCTGAGGAGTCCAGCCAAATGTGTTTAACACATCTGAGGCATTTCTTACTTAAAACAAAAAGCTTTGAAAGAACAGGTCTTACTTGTGGTCTATTATGGAAACCTTAGATCCTGGTATCCCCAACACTGCACAGCTGTTGAGTAGTTCTTCTTTACGCAAAGATCCTTGATTGTAATAATTTCCTGCAAAATACAAACCCATTTTATTTGTGCGTTGTGTATTATGTCAGATCTGTGTTTCTTGTTACTATGTCATGAAATGAGATTAGAACATAATCCTTTTCAAGAGATAGTTTGTGTGACATTGTTCATCAGTTCTGACACTGAAAATCTCAAAAAGCGCGGCAACTTTTCTGTTTTGGGGTCCGCCAGCTGCTTGTTTCCATGGATAAGCTATTGTCTTGTATGGAACGTTCCATAGTATGGCATTAATCCCCATGAAGACTAGCAAGGGATACCACCAGGGAAAGTTGCATGTCAGATATGTGAAGAGGCGACCCTTCTCATGACACTAATGTTTATAACATAGACTGTATAAAAAATATACACTGTCTATGGTTTTTAAAGGTAAAAAAAAGTTACTGTGGACCATTTCCCGTATCCCGGACAAGTATTTCGCAGATTCCCTCCAACATAAAAAAACTACATAATGTACCTTTAATTGTCATAAGGAAATACAAAGTCCGATTAAAACTGTACCTTCAGATAAACAGAGAAGATAAACACTGGCGTTAAACTGAACCAGTTGTATAATGGTTGGCGCGAAGAACATACATTCATCATCCGGGTGCGCGGTGACAAACAGTGCCCTTACACCCGACAGATCGGTGTCTTGGTTTGACAGCCTGCCCATTACATGTTTTAATGATTTTGCAAATCCTTTTTCATGGCGAAAGAAAACGAATCTAAACGAAATTATAATCAATAATGACACGACAATCAACCAAATAACCATTATTTTGATCAGCACCGTAACTACTCCGTGTAGGAACAGGAAACTGCAGTGTAGTTGTTCCCTGTAACAAAACGTTGCAAAAACGCAAAAATAATTATTGCACGGCAGAAGATTGTTGTTCTTATTTTTATTTGCGGAGTAAATACAACCGATCTGCAACCGTGTAAATCCGTGTTCCTGTTGCATACATTGTATTAAAAGTATCTGCGTAATTACTGTGGGGAATCATATTAAACACAGCACTGTAACTTTCAAGTATTTTATAGATTTTGATAAAACTTTCACAATAGTATTTGAGTCGACATGTTCACAGCAATCGTTTACATTTTACCATGCATTTTACACACAGCAACAACACGGGGAAGCTTTAGGCAGCACACCACAGTGTCCTAAAAGATATACAAAACATAGAAACACTTATTCAGCTTTATTGTAGATACAATCATCAAACTGCTTTGTACAATAAATTATGTCTACTTAAATAATTATATTATGCTTCAAGTTTATTTATTAAGGGTACGTGTATGCTCTGTAGGGTTTACTTGTGTGGCAATTAATTTAGTCCTTCCAGGATATGGTTGGACAAATGCGGCGCAGCCTTTAGTCTGCCTGGTCGTCCACAGCCTGTAACCCGCGGATTTACAATCAACTATTGACGCATCTTTTACCTAGGGATAGCATTCTTGCCCTTCGGTAAATTTTCTAAGCATGAGGTGAGTAAATTTACTCACAAAATACAGAACAACACGCATAATTAGCTCTCTGTTTTAGCGCACCAGTCTACGATGAAAATCTGCCTTGCAAGATGGCGACGTGGTTGAGAATTCAAAGGTGAAATACATGCTAAGTTAGCCAGCTAGCATCAACAATAAAATCTTCCATACAGTGTTACTATGATACTACAGCATATATCTTAATTTTGAGTCAGTGTGAGCATTTGCATATCCTCTAGCGCATTTCCGGAAAAGTGACTGCTGTGCTGTGGCAATAAACCCATCCCCCAAAGTAAGCTCCATTTACAGTGTTTGTATCACTTCATAGCATATAACGGCATCAGTATAATCAACAACAACACTATAGAAAAGCAGTAGTCTTTCCTCATTGGAGCTGGACTTTGCCCACATTTTCTTAGAATGTCCGACACCAAACGGATCCTTCCAAGTTTGACATTGTTCTTGAGTGAACAGTAAACAGTTTAAACCACGACTTAAATGCCAGGCTGCGACCACAGTCTATGACTGCGACCCACTTTTAATCTTGATGCATACAGAAGATTTGATGGTATTTTGTTTTATCTATACGTAATCAAGATACGTTTTGGTACCTGATGATAAAAGTATGGTTAAATATTAAGTTCAGGGCATACTGCAGAAAGTGGCAAGAGGGAAGAAATATACTGACATAGAATATGGGGTATTATATTTTCAAAGTACTTATCTTTTCAAACTGAATTATATGCATTTATTTTCTAGATCACAGTACTATTTGTCTGGGGCTGTCAAAAAATTATCAATTTTTTTCTCATTGAAAAAATATATTTCTCATATCAAAATTGTATTCATTATTTTTGATTAAAACTAATAATCATGGTGTTTTGATATGAAGGTTAATAAACATAACAAACAATGCCAACAGAAAATCAAATGCATTCCTCAAATTGAAACCGCTCTTCAAAGCACATGTTTTTATTACATCAGATTTGTTTGATAGACCCTTAAGTTTTAAAAGCCCCAGGCTTTACAAATTATTTAATCACAATATGATTAAAATATTAAATACAATTTTTTTGACAAACGTGTACATTCTGTTCACAGACTAAATTAGAAGAACCAGACTTTGACTTTGGTATCATTATGTCTTTAAATAGTTCTCAGTTGTCTAATCATTTATACAAATTATTATTGATGATTACTTTGTAAAATGAAATATTCTTATAACAAATCTTTTCCTAAGAAATTTAGCTGCAGTTTATCTTTTGGCAAGGCTACTCGTCATGTAATCTAAAAAAACAATCATTAGTTTTACAAACTTACAATATATTTTGCAAATCTGAATGGCATCCACTGAATGCTGTCTAGTTTACATTGAGTCATCCAACTAGTAACTCTGTTTCCTGCACATCAACACTAGAAACTAGTGTATATTAGTTGATGAATGTTTGTTAAAGTTCTTGTATTTCTCAAAATATGCTCTTTCAAGCTTTATGCCATGTTATGATGTTATTACCTCATCTAAAAGATACCTGTTTTATTTCATTCACACATGTTTGATTAATCCTGGATTATTAGTTTGTCTATATCTTCAAAAACTGTTCCACCTTGTCATGTCATGAAGTGGTAGTTTTAAAGTGAAAAGCTACCTTTTATGTTTAGTTAAGTAAAGTTTAGCAAGTTCTGGGCTGAAATTAACCAGGAGTTTAAAAACACAGTGGAGCACTTCCTGAATTACCAAGTGAAACAGAGTTTTCTGTTTCAGGGAAGAACTAAATATGCAGGGTTTATGTGTTAAACCTGTGTGATGAAAGAAAACAAAACTCCAGATGTTTGTGATGAGAAAACAACATTATAACATAGATCCTTTTTCAACAAATCAGTTCAGTCTTGTTAATCTGTTACTGGAGGTGTGTAAATCTATGATGGATGATACATGGATTGGTTTCATTTCTTATTAAAAAAAACAAAACAAAACATTTCAGTGAAAAACAGTGACAGCTCATAAGATATCACATGTAATCTAATGAACCTAACACAGTTATCTGTTCTATCTTCTCATAAAGATTCTGCTTTTGGGTTGCCTGCTGCTTCAGCTGCCTAACACTCATGTTTTCATGCACTAGTTGGCAGTCTCTAAAGGAGTGGCCTCAACTTTTCCTTTTTTAATTATTTGGAACCACAATGTCCTTATCAAGATAGGAACATGTTGTTATATGTTTCATTTAATAGGTACGCAACACAATACATTTATATTTAGAAAACCTTATTTCTGAGCTGCAGCCCTGTGATTGCAGGCGGCGTGTGTGTCCAAACATGGTGTAGCCAAACTGCTGCAGTTGTGAAGAAGCTGCTGCTGCCCCATTGCACTGAGCAGGATGTCTAGCAGCTCGGGCTACCCCCCGACCCAGGGGGGCTTCAGCAGTGAGCAGAGCCGCTACCCGCCCCACAGTGTGCAGTACTCCTTCAGCAGACACCAGCAGGTAAACCATCATATCTACATGGGCCCTCTAGTTTTAGGAGCATAGGTACAAACTTGTAGTATTAAAAATCTGTAATAAATTAAGCAGGGAAAAATCCTACATGCAGCTTTAACTGGAGCACATTCCTGAACACACCCCCAAAATATGATTAGAAATGGATTACAAAACTTGATGCTCTCTTCGTCTGTTGAATACATATTGGCTTGGCATGCTCTGTTAAATCCATTATTCATTTTAATTATTATGGGAAAACCAATGCTTTTTTTCAGTGTGCTGTTGTATAACTTTTGTTGGCTCTTTTGTGATGTACTTTGTAGAACCCTTGTTTCATGGAAAGCAGTTGGCTGCTTTCTGGGCATTGAGATTGTTTGCTTTCATCTAAAACAAAATGGAAGTTTGTTTTTCTGCAACCGGATTTGTGCACTGGTTTATTACACCTCTTTATTTGTTTTTAAACCTTGGGCTTTATGTTAATGAAATAAACAGAAAATAGTAACAACAAAACAATCTAAAGTCTAAAAGTGAGATCATGATGAAACTCAAGGAAAAGGAAGAAGCCCTTTTTTTTGGCCTTCTTTTGGCCCATTCAAGATTTTAGGTTGAATATGGCCTATGCTCAGTTCATGCTAATATTAGTTATATGTTTCTCATGATTGGGCTTTGTATGTGGCTGATAACATTGTGTCAGTTGTGGTGAGTTTGTCTGAGAATTGGCCCATATCTTTGTGCCTCAGGAGTTCCCAGTCCCAGACTATCGGGCACACATGCAGGACCCACAGGGGCGTCGGAGACCCTCTCTTCTGTCTGAGTTCCACCCTGCGCCAGAGCGGTAGGGCCATCTCCGCACTGTATAACACACGGTCAAGCCTCATGAGAATATGTGACATGTGTTGATTTGTGCCCCCCAGGCCTCCGGAGAGACGCCATGGTTACGAGCAGCAGTTTCCCTCCGTCACTGCCCAGCCTGAACACGAGGCGCTGGAGGCTAAACGGCCGCGCATGGAGACCATCAATGAAACCCACATAACCCGCACCCCCCCAACTTCCGGGGGCATGGTGCTCCAAATGCCCCACACCATACAGGACAGCCTAAGGGCCACTGTGGAAGTTAAAAAGGTGTGCTTTCTCCACTTTTTATCTGCTAATTTAACATGGAACAATGCTATGTGGGACAAATAATTAATTTACCTTAGGAACTATTTGTTTTTATTCAGTGAGGACCCTGAAAAAAATTAAGAAATGGGGCTTGCTGAGACTATTTTAGTTGGATGCAATTAACATGAGCCTTGCAATATCTAAACTTAAAGTAACATAACACTATGATTTTAAGTTAGCAGTGTTTCTCAGGATTTGGAACTACAAAATGCTAGTGCTTCTGCTAAATCCTCAGGTTGTGCAAACATATAATCTAAATTGTATATGTTCATATAAATGTTTTTGAATATGGTATGTATCCAAATAAGCATTAACTAAATTAAACAAATTAAAATAAACAATTTCTGTGTTTACCTAGGAGTCTCAATATACTGTTAAAGTAGAGGCGTCCCCAGGTGGACCCAGCCTTCATCTTGGTGAGGACACAGACACGTCTCCCTCTAAACTCTCAAAGGAGGAGCTGATCCAGAGTATGGACCGTGTAGACAGAGAGATCGCTAAAGTGGAGCAACAGATTTTCAAGCTCAAGAAAAAACAGGTTGGTGTCAATGTGTGGGCTTTTTTCCCCCCTCCTTTTTATTGTATTATTGTACATATTATTCAAGTGTGCCATCGGGACAAGTCATCAATTCTTCGTTGACCTGACAAATAAAATATACAATATACAGATACTCCAAATTGTAAGTTTTAATACAAGAGACCACGTAAACATAAAACAAAAACAAAGGCAAGTATAAAACAAATGTGAAAAGCCTTGCCTTATCTTCTCTCCTTACTTCCTCTCTGACAAACAAATCATTTAAACAAAGTCACGCCTTGAAAGTCGTATATATTGGGCCTACATGTAAATTTTTCCACTTTAAAGGCTCAATAACATTGTAAGTTTTTCCCATTAAAATATTTGATAAACAATATTGCACAATTACTGGTACAACTATTTTCTTGTCAGTGTTTTCTTAGTTCATAATACAATAAGTATTGCCTGCTATCATGGTGACATTTGGAATCCAGGAGATGACCTGTACATGTATGGGAAATCGAAAGGAATACCAGTGCTAAAGATATTTAGTAAACACTGATGGATCTGTCGCCAGAAAGGAATAGATGATGGTGATTGGCCTCTGAACTGCCACATTACTGCCACAGCCAGTTCCTATGCTTTGGTGGCTTCTTTGAAGTGGGGTAATAAAAAAAATCTGATAACATTTTTCCATCCAAATTCCATCCAAATTGTTGAATATGTTGTTTTCCATTGCTTTTTACATAACAGTTTCCAATCCTTATCATCTACCCTTGAGCCCATTTCTTTTCCAATTTCTCTTTCAGAAGTTTGTTTTTGGATTTGTTTTCTTGAAAACCCTGATTATAACATTGAAATAACATTCAAACTTGTATTAGTGTTATAAGCCTTTTGAAAAACAATTTAAAAAGTCTACGATCCCTTTTCTCTGCATTGGCACTTGATATCGTATTAAATCTGTTTCTTAACTGTAAGAACCTGAAGAAATATTTGTCTTATCTTTATCTTAAGAGTGTTAAAATCTGCAGGCTGTCTCTTTTGAAGGAATGCGAAATATGCCTGTCAGCGACCATTCTTAAAACTGAGACAACTGGGTTAAAAGTGTGCATCGTAAGCACACCATCAGGGTCCAAATCTTTAGAAGTAAATTTTATCCAAGGATTATGTGGGTCTGTCTTTTAGATATGACTGTAGTGTTTTGTCTGCTATCATGGTTTGTACTTTCTGTCCTTCCACCTGTCTTTCATTGATGAATTACATAAACATACTAATGGCCTTAACTGAGCATAATAATAGTCTTTCATGCATGGTAAGGACAGCCCACCCTTGTCCTTTGATAGCTGTAATGTAGTTTATCTTATTCTAGGTTATATAAAATGAAATTGAGCATCCTTCTTGGTCAGTGATCTCAGATTCAAGTTTAGACTGTAATTTTAACGTATCCCTGATAACTTCTTCCACGATTTGGATCTGCTCCTTCGAGTCCAAAACACGTTCCTCAAGTTGCTCCAGGTTTTCATTGGTCGTCTTTATCTGATCCTTCACTTCTTTGACTTGCTGAGTGTTCTTCTTTTTTGAAGTCCTCAGTTCCCTTAAATATCATTTTCAGAATTATGCTGTCATCGCCAGCTGTGTCTTCTCATTATGTTGTGTTACATTATGTTACAGTATTGCACACGAGTAGTACAGGTGACGACATAAATGTTTATCAAATGTTTATTTTTTTAGCAACAACTGGAGGAGGAGGCAGCAAAGCCAGTGGAGCCGGAGAAGCCCGTGACTCCTCCCCCTGTAGAACACAAACACCGCAGCATCGTCCAGATCATCTACGACGAGAACAGGGTGTGTGGTCCTTTTGGATATATATTTTTTACAATTCAAATGTTTATTAATTGTTGTCTTGTAATTTACCCAAAACAAAAATAGCCTAATAAAAGAGTACAAAAACTCAAAAGCAAATATTTAAACTATCTCAAACAGTAGCATGTATTAATGTACCTATGTTCGAGCAAAGTTCATTTTTGCTAATACAAATTTTCTGCGCGTGTTTTATGTAGTGGTGCATAGTCTAGTAATGCAGATAATTTAGCATAATTACTTTGTTTGGTCAAAAGACATATGTGGTGACATAATAAACATAACTTTACAAATTACTTAACTGTAATTTGTTTATGTGAAAGTTTGAAAAAAGGTTTAAGGAGTGCGTAAAGAAGTTTAGTTCTGTGAGTGTTTTTAGAGGTTACTTTAGTTCATGTCTGTCAGACTGTTGTGTTTTGTTCAGCCACGCCCTCCTTTCCAGTCAGCCATTAACCCTTAAAGCGCTAAAACTGTCCCACTTCACTTCACGACAATAAAGCCTCCCATATTATTCATTCACCGATTAAAATGTTGGTGTTATGTTAATGGTGAATAGTAATTTCTTTTTCTTTTTTTTCTTTTTTTTTTTAATACAACAAAAACAAAAATTGACAAGAACAACAACAACTCCCAAACCCCACCCCTCTCGCTCCACACTCATAACACACTCAAAACTACACAAACATGAATAGACATTTCTTATAATATAATGCAATTGATAGTACATTTTATTACAATATTTCTTAAAAGTTATTGTGTGTATCAATGCCACCACTAACTTTAGATTACTTAATATTATTATTTGAATTCTAATCAGAATGATAAGGGCGACTATTTTGTGTATTTATTGCATCATCATTTAGTCTGGCAGCTGTTTAACTGTTTAATGATTACTAACGTACTAACAACTCTCTTTCCAGAAAAAAGCAGAAGAAGCCCACAAAATCCTGGAAGGCCTTGGTCCCAAAGTTGAGCTGGTAAGATGTTGTCCTAATAGCTGCACGTTTAGTTAGTTTGTACCAGCACCATAGACAATGATTAATCCATATGTGCTCCACTGTGCTTCTCTCCAAATTTAGCCCCTGTACAATCAACCGTCAGACACAAAAGTTTATCACGACAACATCAAGACGTAAGTATGGTTTCCATTGTCAATATAATGGAAGATGACAAAACAATTAAATGATTATCTTATCCGGCAACAATCTGCTATTTTAAGATTCTCATATTGTGACCCAATATTTACATTAAGAACATGAACGGAATAAAGGTATATGGAGATACTGAATGTGTGTGAAATAAAATGTTTGTGTCAGAACTGAGAATGAGAGTTGAAGGCCAGGTTTCCACAGTGGAGCTTATCAGTGTGCACCATGAGAGAGGCCCGTCTGCTTCAGTCTTTTATCACAACAAAGGACTCCCAGACCCTGAGAGTAACGCCCAGCTCACCTTAGTTTAGGCTTTATGCTTGGTTGAGGTGTTGGACTGCTGGTAATAATATAATATAATATAGGTCGAGGATTTAATAATGTGGTTTAAAAAATAAATACATCGTAGCAATAGGGTAAAAAAAATAAATAAATACATTTCCTTCATTTTAATTGATAGTTTTTTTTTTTGTTTGGTTTTTTTAATGTTTTATTCCTTCCTTTTATTCATTCCTTTTTATTCCCCTAAGAAAAAGGTTTAGTATTGATTTTATGAACATAACAACACAAACTTTTAATCGGTGCCATTTCAGACAGAAAATAATGTATTCATCCAAAGTCTGAACTCCATACTGCTTTTAATAAGGATTAACAGTAGACCTCAAAATTAAAAACACCATAAGATATCATTGACAGTAAGACATACCTGAATCTCAATATTTTTTCAAATTGCCCTAGTTTACATTGTGCTGCTTTGCTCAGGTAACTATATTAACTTTTAATATACAGCTTGACCAAGCATTAGTCTTAGTCTATTCACTGTTAAATGTATTTACTAATTGCTGTTTTCTTGCAGCAACCAAGTGATGAGGAAGAAGCTGATTCTGTTTTTTAAGAGGCGAAACCATGCTCGTAAGCAAAGGGTAAGTGACCATCAGTGTTGTAGTTACCAAAAATCACTACAGCACATTATATTGTATATGTGTGAATTTGGTGACACTTTAATTTAAGGACCATATAATTGCTAACTAAGTGGTATTTGATAAATACCAACAAATTGTTAAGTAACAGCTCATTAGCATACCAAACTCTTATTTATTAATCCTTTAAGATTTTCATGTATGTACAAAAACATCTATTGTAATTCTCATAATGTTATGGGAAGAAAATAGTTAATGGCTTTATACATGCAAAATACAGGCTTATACAAAAACACACAAAACTTTACAAATACTTAGTGATGTAATTAAGCACTTTTTATGCATTTTGCTATTAGTTAGCTATTAGTGTGTGGTCCCTAAACTAAAGTGTTCCCTTGAATTATATACTGAACACATGATTATTAAGAGGTTTCATACAATATTTTACATATTCATTAAAATATTTACTAATAGTACAACTATAGATGACTAAAGAAATGCCTTTTGCATTGATGGACTAAAAGGAGGAGTGGTGTGGCATATACCAGTAAATTTTCCAGTTCAGTCCCTCCCTCAATTCAAGCTGACTGACTCCATTCCCCTTTCCCTTCCCATTTCTGTGGTGGTCCATTTAATCATTCTAATCTTAATACAATACTTGGGTGACTAACAAAAATAGATCTACATCCTCTGATTAATTGACCAAAAGACTAAAGGCATACAGCCCTGGAAAATAGATTGTATGAGTGCTGTGTCACTTTCTGCAATAACACTTTTGAGATTGCTGTGGTTCATTGAGTTCTATGCTTCCCGGCTCTGCACTGTCAGGGTCAGACAGACCTTTTGGACTCTGAAACAATAGCTGAGTGAATATGGCTTAGTGCCAAGAGGAAGGTGGATTGTTTGTCTCTCTTTACAAAAACTGGAAATACAGACCACAATGTCCCCTATGAAGATTCCACACTCGACGCTGTGACCCTTGACAACACTTAACAGGTTACAAGTCAAATCCTATTCAAGGTACATTTTGATATTTGTATTGGAAACCCTGAAAACTTATGTAAAAAGACTTAAGGTTGACTTTAGGTTGAGCAACATGAAAAATACAAGCAGTTCCTGAACAGCCTGTACTCACTGGGCTCCACATTGGCACACTTCTACTACTTTTGAATGCAGTCAGGTTCACACACTGCTTATGTCACACTAGACATATGTGCTGGGCTTTGCAATGCTGTAACCTACATGCATATTGTACAAAAAGATGATGATGATGATGATGGTTAGAATGCTACATTCATGGCTGTAAAGGTTGCACAATACATCTCAATCAAATAAATTTTCCAATTTCATTTGGAGGAATTATCAAAATGTGAAGTTTGCATTTGTTTATATCATGCAATTTCCTCTCCAAATAACAAGATTTATATAATAAGTACAATATACAAAAGTATATCCCAAGTTTAATCACAATAGCATTTATTTTCGTTTGTTGTTTATAAAATCATGCTACCCTACCGTGAATACATTGCTGCGTAGTGGGCTAACTGACCAACTTAATCCTAGTTAATTGAATTTATACACCAGATTGCCAAGTTATATTGATAAATAAGATTTAAATGTTTTCCTTTGTCTTCCACTCAGGAACAGAAGATCTGCCAGCGCTATGACCAGCTAATGGAGGCCTGGGAGAAGAAGGTGGAGCGGATGGAAAACAACCCTAGAAGAAAGGCCAAAGAAAGCAGAACACGCGAGTACTACGAAAGACAGTTCCCCGAGATCCGCAAGCAGAGGGAGCAGCAAGAAAGATTTCAGAGGTAAAGACATCCTGTATATGGCCAAATGAATGACGTGCATTTTTGTTTATAATTGAATTGAAGGAAGGACGATTAACAATGCTCCGATACAGCCGATATCACAACTTATATGCATATTTTGGACAGTTTGTGCATTAAGATAATTTCTTCCATAATCAATTTTATGCCATTATCGTGCAGCCAATAAAAATCTGTTTTATCTGTCATAAGTTTATATCTCTTGTAACTTAACACCAAACTGGATAGTGGCCATTATTGGGAATAAAAGGAATTAAGATGAATAATGCTCTAGAGTAGTGGTTAGGGTTAGGGTTGGTTGGACTGCTCTTCAATAACTGGGTTTGCCTGAATTAATCCACTTTTTGTCCTCCTTTGGATAATTTGTTGTTTATGACTATATGAACTGATGCACTTCATTTTTGGCCGGGTTTAGCCTTAGATTAGACTTGGAATAGTCCTGTTATGTGGCCAAATTTACTCTTTGGTGGAGAAGTTTGAGAGCCAATAGAATATTTGTCTGTATTTGTAGTAGCCTGGTTTGTGCAGTGAACTGCACGGTTGACGATGGGGTCAGGGTCCACTGTCTGTATCATTGAGATTCAGTGAAGGGAGGTCAGCAAACAGGTCTACGAAGAGGAAGTACATTATGACCAGTTAGTCAATGATTTACATGACTAATGCTCTTTTAATTGATTATACTATATAAAGGGATTATCAGACTACATGGATTCTACCTGGACAACTGAGGGATTTTTCACACATTATCAGACTGCGTCACTGCGCATGTCTTCTGCAGAAAGAGTTGCTGTCCTGTCTGGTATCACATCTGTCTTGTAGGATTTCAGCAGATTTCAGGCTCTCAAAGGGTCGGGGCTAGTTGTATCGATCAGGTATGAGTGGATGTCCAAATACAGAAATTTTAGCCTTTTCTTCTCGTCATTTACGCACTCACCTGCATTTAACGTATATGGGCCACTAACATGTATCCCACTCACTAATGTTAATTTAGCATCATAACTTATTTTATCACACGTCGATAAACTGTTTTAGTGCTGACAACAGCGCTAGCTCATGTTGCAACTTCATGTTAACCGTATAGACAACAGCGCTTTCTGCACTCAGGCTGCACGCG